TCAATAATCATATTGTTCGACATTTAAAAGTTTGCTGTAGTACGTAAAACTTTTTTTAATGTCCTGCATTAGGGAGTTACTGAAGCCATGACTCAGGCTTTGCAGCTCTGCCAAAATGTCTGGCAGCAGGACATAGCGCAGCTGGTAGAGTGCAGCCACCAGTCTTGGGAACAGATGATCAGCTTACACGATGTGGATCCCAGTTTGCATAAGTTTCCTATCAAAACAGATACAAAACAGACTGTTTCCAGAGAATGGTGCTGAAGGTGTGTAAACTGTTAAACTTCCTCAAGAGCTGATGGAAAAGTTCCACTATCAGGAGGTTAAAACATTTGATATAATTAATAATAAATAATTAATAAATTGGGCAAACAATTTAGCTTCAAGATAAAAAGTAATGAGGAGGAAAGGATTATTATTTTTTGTACAGTTAGCTTTGTTAAAATTCCACATTCACGAGAAGGCAGACTCCAAACCACGTTTTGTAAACTTTAACCAAGAACTGCATCAGTATGTAGCACCACAATCAAGAATAAGACAGCAATTAAGATTAACTATGTGCTTGGCACATTTTCTTATGGACCGATGATACAGTATTTTGAATTTGCTTCACTCTCTTAAAATCATGTATTTGTAGGCTACTAATTGTATATCATTTTTCTTTACTTTGTACAGTAGGTACCCCTGATACGTATAAAGTGTGACTGTATATGTTTTCTTTAAAATTATTTTTAAAAACCAAACAGACAAACTGAGAAATACCTTTGATCACAGGCAGGAGGAAGGAGAAGAGATGAGAGGAGGAACAAAACAGAGAAATAAGAAGAGATCTTTCTGTAACACCATCGTCAGGCTGAGCCAATCAGAGGTTCATGTTCCGGTCATTGTTTACAGTCCGATTAGCAACTTCAGAGACATCAAGACGACATTTCGGCTAATCTGCGCTCCACACGGACTGTTTACCTGCATGCAACCAAAGCCCGCTGCAACGTGATTGGTCAATACTCCCGGACTACAGGCGGAAACCGGAACCTTCCTCTCCTGCAGACCCTGCATCCATGTGCAGATGGTAGAAAACAGACGGAGGAGAAGAAAGAAGATGAGATGAGTTTGAAGTGTTTGCTGGCTAACCGAGAAGCCAACATTTTGACAAATGGAGGATCGTACGTGTTATTTAGCAGAAGAAAAAGCGACGGAGCGAAAAGAGGAAGAAGTGAAACTAAATGTGGACAGACGACGGCAGAAAACAATGATCAACATCGGTGCGGCCTTCCCCAAATGGAAATCTCTGATGAGGGACAAATGTTTTCAGAGTGACGCCGAAGTTGCCTGTTTTCTGCTGCACAGGTAATTTAGCCCGATCTAAACTCAGTAATTACTACCAGGACTGTAGTTTTACTTTCATGCGACAAATCCTACAATTTATCTTAATTGGACCCAACAGACCCGAAAATTACTGCCAATCAAAGTGTAACGTTCAACAAAACTGCAGTTTGAAAAATATATGGCAAGCCATTAGTGCCAATAAACGTAAGTATTATAGCTTGTTTTGTAAAAAAACGGCATAAGTGCAGTTTTATACCGCTAACACGGGGGTCTTAAATGATAATGATCTCTTTTTGGAGCCATGTGGAAGGATAGCGCAGTGTAAATGTCTTACAAACAGCACAGTAGTCAAGTAAAAGTGCTGTCACTTGTCACTGCATAAACAAGTACTCAAGTCAGTGTTTCCCCTAGGATGGAGTTGTAGCAGCTGAGGTGAAGCGAAAAGGTTCGGGGGTCCTTCACCAAGAACATTTTACTTTTTCCAATGACAGACATGCAATTTCACATCATTTGGGACTATTAATTTTACCCTATCTTCGAACAAATAGTTGGAAAAGCTAGAGCAGATTATAAATAAAGAATATCCATAAAGCTAAGGACTAAACTTGCTGAAGAATTTGTCGCGGGAGGGACTATAACCATTCGAGTTTGGAAAAGTTATTTAGTATTCGTGCTCTCTCTCCACAATGATTTTACATTCTTGGCACAGCACCCAAGCCGTTTTGGGCCTCAACTCCTAAGCCTTATAACAGCAGGGAAACCCTCGAATATGACCTCCGAATCATTAACGTTATAGATAGGATTTTTCATGTTGCCTTTTGTGTCTCAATTTACAGCTTTTGACATTTATTTGTAAAAATTAATTTGAGGGCTGTGCGATATGATGATATCTATCGTTTGACGATAGAAAAAGGTCTGTCGTTTACAATTATGCTCTATTGTTTATTTCATTGTCACAAATTCCACACTTTACTGTAATATTTTGGTGAGGGACCACGCTTTGCACTGCGTTGAAGTTAGTTTTAAGATGGAATTTGTCTTCTATCGATTGTCCAACGTAAAACAAATATATAATATACATATCCAACTTGAAACTACCTTCACTGCGGTCCAAGGAAGCTAGCCAAACGTTTAGTGTTACTGTGGTCGCACAGTGTGCGACTGAACACAATAGTAGCTTAACGTTATTGTTTAATGATGGTGGGAAATTTCCGTAGCGATGGCATTTTTTTAGCAATGGTGCACCGTTACTCCTGAATGAAAATAGGGGAAACACTGCAAGGAGAAGTAAAATGGTCATCAAAATAACTTGCTACTTGAGTAAGAGCACAAAAGTGTTTACTGAACAAATCACTTGAGTAGCGAGTAACTTAAAAATAAAAACCCACTAGGTCTTAGACATCAAGCCTTTTATTTCACCTAGATGTGACTAGAATTATTTCAGCGACTGATGGGCTTCCTCGGGTAAAGGAGCGAACTTACACTTGTGTTTATTCAAGATGAAATGACAAGGCAAGGCAATTTTATTTGTATAGCACATTTCAACAACAAGGCAATTCAAAGTGCTTTACATAAAACATAAAAGCAAGAAATTGAAAAAATAAAACACATTATAAAAACAGGATAAAACAGGACAGTAAAAGCTACAGTGCAGTGTACAATCAGGGCACTGAAAATCTAAAAACAAAGAAAATGAAAATCGGACGTTACAGTGTAGTGAAAGGTACCAATCTATGGCTTTAATTTAATTAAAAGCGGTGGTAAAAAGAAAAGTCTTCAGTCTTAATTTAAAAAAACTGACAGTTTCAGCAGACCTGCAGTTATCTGGGAGTTTGTTCCAGATATACGGAGCATAATATCTGAACGCTGCTTCTCCTTGTTTAGTTTTGACTCTGGGGACAGAAAGCAGACCTGATCCCAGACGACCTGAGAGGTCTGGATGGTTCATAACAAAGCAGAAGATCAGAAATGTATTTTGGTGCTAAACCATTCAGTGCTTTATAAACGAACAGCAGGATTTTGAAATCAATTCTTTGACATACAGGAAGCCAACGTAAAGACCTCAGAACTGGAGTGATGTGATCCACCTTTTTGGTCTTAGTGAGGACTCGAGCAGCAGCGTTCTGAATCAGCTGCAGCTGTCTGATGGATTTTTTAGGGAGCCCTGTAAGGACGCCGTTATAGTAGTCAAGTCGACTGAAGATAAATGCATGGATAAGCTTTTCCAGGTCCTGCTGAGTCCTGTAATCCTTGATATATTCTTCAGGTGATAGTAGGCTGACTTTGTAATTGTCTTAATGTGGGTCCTCAAATTCAGGTCTGAGTCCATGACTACACCAAGATTTCTGGCTTGATTTGTGGTTCTTAACATTACAGATTGAAGCTGAGCACTGACTTTCAGTCGTTCCTCCCTGGCTCCAAAAACAATAACTTCAGTTTTATCTTTGTTTAATTGAAGAAAATTCTGGCACATCTAATCGTTGACCTGCTCAATACAGTTACTCAGCACCCGTATGGGCTCATAGTCCCCTGGTGAAATGGTTATGTAAATCTGTGTGTCATATGCATAATTATGGTAACATATTTTGTTGTTTTTCATAATCTGAGCTAATGGAAGCATGTAAATATTAAACAAAAGAGGCCCCAGAATGGAGCCTTGGGGAACTCCACATGTCATTTTGTCAGCTCAGATGTGTGTTACTATAGACACAAAGTAGTCCTTGTCCTTTAAGTAGGATTCAAACCAGTTTAGTTGTGCCAGAAAGTCCAACCATGTTTTCAAGTCTGTTGAGGTATACGTTGTGGTCAACCGTGTCGAATGCAGCACTGACATCCAATAATACCAAGATTGAAATTCTGCCACTGTCAGTGTTTAAATGGTTGTTATTGAAGACCTTAACAAGAGCCGTCTCAGTGCTGTAGTGTGGTCGAAATCCTGACTGGAAGACATCAAAACAGTTATTTAGTGCCAAGAAAGATTTGATATGGGCCTGTGACTGCTCATTAGTGACCTGTCTAGATTGCTCTTTTTTAAGAGTGGCTTAATGACTGCAGTTTTCAGGGCCTGTGGGAAAAAACCTGAGAGGTTGCATGTTGACAATTTGTAGTTAATCTGAGGCCGTGCAGTTAGAAACATTTTTGAAAAAACCTGTTGGCAGAATATCAAGGCAGCATGAGGAGGATTTCAGATGTTGTATTATGTCCTCCAGGTTTTTATGGTTAATAGAATCAAATTGTCTCATGCTATATGAATTGTTTTTAAGTGGACACAGGGACAAGACATATCCTGTTACTGACATGGAGGCACTGATTGCTTGTCTAATTGTTTGAATTTTGTCTGTGAAGAAGGAGGCAGATTCATTGCAGGCCCTTGGTGGATAGAAGGTCAGAGGCTACAGACACAGGAGGGTTGGTTAGCCTGTCGACAGCAGTAAACAGGGCACGTGCATTATTGGTGTGTGTTTTGGTGATGATGTCAGAAGAAGGCCCGCCTTGCATTTCTCAGCTCTAAATTATAAATTACTATTGTCAAATTACGCTATTCTGTCCTTGATCTTTGCAGCTTTCAGAGGGGACACTGCATTTATTACTATTTAGTGTTCTCTCTGTAGGATTTATTGTTTTCTGAATATGTCCTCCTTTTACAGAATTGATTGGACAGATGAAGGCCCTTCCTTTCATGAAAAAGATGATGGAGATAAAGATGACAGCTCTGATGAAGAGGATCTTCCACCCATTTGTATACGGTGTGTTATCAGTCAGTCTTTACTCTGCTATTGTTCTGTGATGCCAGCTTTTATTCAAATCTTTACACATATGCCTTCATGTTGTGCCTCAACAGAATGGGTGGAGCATTAAAGAAAGCACCATCGACTGATCGACTTCCAGTTATTGGAACGGGCGAGGCAGCGCATGACCAGCCTGCACGTGAAGACCCTCCTGATGAGGCTTCTCCCTGTGATCAGGACCCTGTTTTCCCATCCCCACAGCAGGTCCTTTGTGAAGATGACATCGTTGGTGCCAGAGCTTCAATAGTATACGAGGACTGCTTGAGACAGCTGGCTACATTTCTGATCCTGCCTGTGAAAAAATGTACAGGGCGTTTAAAGACTGGTGTTGTGTGTGACTGTGTTGCCCCCTTTGAGATCAACATCACTTCCAAGGGCACAGCAACGAGTGTCGAATGGGTAAGTCCTGACAGTCGCAGCGTATCATAACTGTAAATTCCCATTAAAACACATTTGTAGTGAAAGCCAGTGCTGTACATGCCAAATGCAATCCTGCCTTTTCTTGGACTTTCAGATCTGTCCCAATGGACACAGCTTGTGGAGGTGGAATTCCCAGCCTGTAATGAAGTGTGGGACGCAAGCTGGAGATTTTCTCTTGTCCACCAACATTTTGTTGTCTGGCAACGACTATGCGAAGGTCGCCCTCTTGTTCAAGTTCATGAACATGGGGATGGTGAAGAAGAACACCTTCGTGTCCATTCAGGACGCTTACTGTGTGGACACAGTGAAGGCCTTCTGGGAAGAGAGGAGGACTGAGGCCCTCAGTGGCCTTCAGGGGAAAGATGTTGTGGTCCTAGGTGCGTAGCTGAAACTTTACCATGTTATACAAATATTGAAGACATTAGGTAGTGTGACTGTAAGTAAGCAGCTAACTCATATTTTTAATTTTTGGATTTTATTTTTATTACTTTTTTTCAGCAGAGAACGACACCAAGGAGATCATTCATGTTGCCACCATCAACAAGCAGCAGACATCCTGCAACTCAGTCGTCATGGAGAAGGAGGGTTTTATTGAGACTGTGGACAAGCTTACATCAGAGATAAAGCAAGAGGAGATCTGCACAGGTGCTAATGCCCAGATCACAGCCCTTATGAGTAAGTAGTCATTTGATATAATGTTCGAATATATTTTCAGAATGGATTATGTTTAAAAAAAAAGCCTTAGATTACAGTCTTAACGGAGCGTCCTCTTTAAATGCAGACAGAGTGAGAGAGAACAGACATTGTTTTTTACTTTACATATAATCTGCCATAAAAACTACTTTCAATGTCGCATATTCACATTTAGTTTATCCCTTTACCAGCACTCTTTAATTCTATCAAAAGCTACAAGAAACCATTTCTCAACCACCATCTGGCTCTAAAACATGCCGTCTATGATACAGAGACCCAGAAGAAACGCTGCCGTTGAATGCTTCTAATACTACATGACTGTCTACAACGGCGACCTGTAACTTTGAGATTTCACACTAACAATGTACATTTGAAAGAGGAGGTAGATAACTTTGTTTGGCAGGAAGCCATGTTAGATACTTGTTCAGCTCACATTTATTTACTTGTCCCCTTTGTTTAAGAACCGACTGTAACATGTGTTGCACAGATATATTTAGAATACATTTAACTTCTCATTAACGTTAGCGCTCCTCCACTGATAAACATGACCGGCCTATAAATCGGTTGGGCTCTAATTGAAATATTGTTGTAATATTAAATGCTTTTCCTCTTTACAGACCCAGACAAAGGCAGATACAAAGATGTTGGAATTCATCACAGTCTGGACATGTGGCATGGTGCCAAGAACCTGGTAAAAAAATAGCTGCTGTAAGTTGAATAAGTGGCTCATGTTATTGTCTTCATGTATTCATCATAGAGTGACATCAGGGGGATTTAACTATGTGCCATTGCTGGCTGAGAGTCTGTACGTTTTCATTCCAATCAAAGACAAACAAAAGTTGATTTTACTGCTTGGCCCCTCCTCTCTGTCTGAAGGTGTGTTAATTATTGAAATCATCTGGTGTTATCTTTGGTTGGGCTGAAAATCTGTTTACTCTCAGTCCTCCATGGAATAGGATTGAATATCCATGTCCTACATTGTTCTGTATGTTTTGTTTGTCTTCTGAAGGCAGCAAAGATAAAAAGACAGGTGGTCCTCCTCATCTGCAGAAAGAAATAATAAACCGTTTTTGATGGTGACGCAAGCTTACAAAAGCATGAAATTTTTTGGAAGCACATCATTTATATACAGTTATGTTCAAAACAATAGCAGTGTATTTTAAAAAGTGAGTAAAGGCCCAAATCCTGTATAGCTTTCATTTCCATACATGCAAAAGAATTGGGAGCACTACACATCCTAATACAAAACTCATCAAATTTGTTTGCATTACTTCACAGAAAGTGAGGAAATAGGAATATAAGGCTTTTCTTTATAAACTCAAACATCTACTGTAACCGCTAAGCCTAAGCTTAAAGCAGCTGAGGGCTACACAGAGGGTTAAAGTAGCTGACGCGGCGCGGTTACCATGGCCGCTTTGTTCGGTTTAGAAAGAATAAAACAGGAGTTCTACTTCTGCTTTATTCTCTGTCCTGAGAGATATGAGTCCATAACTGTACAATATTCCATCTTCATCGACAGTTTCCTCTGGCAACACCTGTGTCTGATTGCACCTACCCTCCTAAGTAGATGAGCCCCAATTAGCTATGCCATCACCTTGTACCACCTACTGTCCAAACCTGGACATAAAAATTTAAATGGCTTCTACATCTACTGTAAAAACTGAAAATGCTTGAAGATTTAGCTTTCCTATGCATCACTGAACTAGTATTTAGTTCAGGGGTATTATAATGCCATATAATGGTCCAGTTAGAGGAAATCTCCTGAAGCAAAGGTCCAGAACATCATAATGACTAACTTGCATTATCATTCAGAAAATGCTTTATTGCCAATAATTTTTTACATGTTCAAGGAAATTGCTTTGGAGATAATGGTGCTACACATAGACACATAAACAGTTGGCATAAATAAATTTAGAAATATATAAATATGTAATATTGACAAAATAGAAGAATAACACTTAACAACAAAAAACAATATGTGCAGTATAACTGGCATGTGCAATGATGTGAAATAAAATAATTAAGTTGTTAATGAGTCTAGCTGCAGAAGAGTAGAAGCTGTTTTTGTGGCGAGAGGTTTTGGTTCTGATTGGCCGCAGCCTCCCGCCAGAGGGGAGTGACTGAAACAGTTTGTGACCGCGATGGGAGGGGTCAGCTGCAATCTTTCCTGCTTGCCTCAGAGCCTTGGAGGAGTACAGGTCCTAAAGTGATGGAAGATTGCAGCCAATCACCTTCTCTGCAGAGCGACTGATGCGCTGCAGCCTGCCCTTGTCCCTGGCAGTGGCAGCAGCGTACCAGATGGTGATGGAGGAGGTGAGGATGGACTCAATGATGGCGGTGTAGAAGAGCACCATCATTGTCTTTGCAGCAGGAAGTACGTCCTCTGCCTTCTTGGTGAGGGAGGTGATGTTCAGCTCCCACTGGAGGTCCTGAGAGATGGTGGTGCCCAGGAAGCGGAAAGAGTCCACAGTGGTGACTGGGGAGTCACACAGGATGATGGGGGAGGGTGGGGCTGGGCTCTTTCTGAAGTCCACAACCATCTCCACTGTCTTCAGAGCGTTGAGCTCCAGACTGTTCTGGCTGCACTAGGTCACCAGATGGTCAATCTCCCACCTGTAGGCGGACTCGTCCCCACCAGAGATGAGCCCAATGAGGGTGGTGTCATCTGCAAACTTCAGGAGCTTGACAGACTGGTGACTGGAGGTGTAGCTGTTGGTGTACAGGGAGAAGAGAAGGAGGGAAAGAACGCAGACTTGAGGGGATCCGGTGCTGATGGTCCTGGAGTCAGAGACATGTTTTCCCATCTTGACGTGCTGCTTCCAGTCCGTCAGGGATGTTCAGCTGAGAGAGCTTGTCCTGCAGCAGGGCCGGGATGATGGTGTTGAAAGCAGAGCTGAAATCCACAAACAGGATACTGGCGTCGATTCCTGGTGTTCAGGTGCTGGAGGATGTATTGAAGGGCCACATTAACTGCATTGTCTACAGATCTGTTGGCTTTGTAGGCGAACTGCAGGGGGTCCAGGAGTGGGTCTGGGATGGATTTAAGGTGGGTCAACAGAAGGTGTTCAAAAGACTTCATTACCACAGATGCCAGGGTGACGGGTCTGAAGTCGTTTAGTCCTGTGGTCTTTGGCGGAGGCTTTGAAGCTGGCTGGCACATGGCATTTCTCCAGTGAGGTGTTAAAAATGTCTTTGACTATGTTTTTAGTCAACAACTGACTGTCAAATTAAAATATATTTCAGAATTATTTACTGGGGGGATAATAAATAATAACTACTCTAATAATAAATTCTAAATTTAAGTAAACTAAAATAAGAAATCAGAAATTAAGTACTGGCTGGCTCCAGATCCAGACCGCTGTCTGCCAACTAGTGACCTCTGGTTTAGTTGTATGACGACGTTTCTTAGAACTGCGTCACATCTGTGTTGCATGGAGTTGACCAACTTCTGGCACCTGTGAACAGGTATTCCAGCCCAGGACGATTGGGCAACATTCCAAAATTCATCTGCATTTCATGGTTCTGCCTCAGATACAGCATTTTTCATGTCATCCCACAAGTTTTCTATTGGATTAAGGTCCGTGTATTGGGCTGGCCACTCCATAACGTTGTCTTTAGGGTTGTTGTCTTGTTGAAACAACCATTTTAACGGCATTTCCTCTTCAGGAGAAGGCAAGATGACTTTTAGATGTATTTAAACTGGTCCATGATATGTAGGACATTGACATTCTTTGATCTCCCTGGAGCTGATCATTGGCTGAGTCTTTGCCATTCTGGCTATTTTTCGGTCCAGTTGAATGGTAGTTGTCTGTCTTCTTCCACGTCTTTCTGCTTTTGGTTGCCATTTTAAAGCATTTCAGATCATTTTAGCTGAGCAGCCTATCATTTTCTGCACTTTTGTTTTTTGCCCTCTCGAATCAACTTTTGAATCAAAGTGCGCTGTTCCTCTGAACAATGTCTGGAACGACCCATTTTACCACCTGTTTTTTCACAGAATGAATGACCTCACTTTTTGAGCTCCACACTGCTATTATTTTGAGCAATTAATGATTAAATTACACAGAATCAGCAGCATGCATTCCATGACTGTTGGGTCTGTTGGTTTTCTATTACTCTATGTAGGAATTTAATTTCTTCCACAAACAGTGATTGTTCTGGGTAGTGACTATTATTTTGAACACAACTGTATATCCATGTATATTTTGTCTTCTAGCAAGTTCATTCATTTCGTTATGATGGATTTTTATAGTGCTATTCTGTTTTTTGCAGGCACCATGGGTTGACATTATTCACCATGTCTGTGACATTTGTACCTGGACTATGGGAAGGTGTCAACATGGGCACCTTGAAGAAACTCGTGGAAAGGCGTGGATCCAGAGAGACTCCAGGTGCCACAAAGCTTTAGTGGACATCGTTCTCAATGAGCGTTGGCTGAAGGATGTGCATAAATACCTGCGCTTCAGGTAAAGTGTGGCTACATGTTTCACACAGATGAAAATAATGACTTTTAGTGCTTATTCTTTATTTTTATATATATGTATAAAAGAAACAAAAGGGTGAAACTTCCAAGGGGGTGAATACTTTTTATATGCATTACAATGCCATGAAATCATGGTCAATATAATTTGGCTTTTTTGACTAGAGAAAAGAAGAAAAAATCTTTAATATCAAAGTGAAAACTTTGTCAAACTAATGTCAATTAATTAAAATATAAGGTAAAGAAGATGATTGCATTAATATTCACCCCCTTAAGGTTTGTATTTAGTAGATGCACCTTTGGCTGCAATTACAGCACTGAGTCTGTTTGGATATGTTTCAGTCAGGCTGACACATCTGGACACAGCAAAACAACTCAAGCTCTTTCAGGTTGCTCGGGGATCGGGCGTGAAGAGCTCTTTTCAAGTCCAGCCAAAAATTCTCGATTGGATTGAGATCTGGGCTTTGACTTGGGTCCTCCAGAACATTCACCTTGTGGTCTTTGAACCATTTCTGTGTAGCTTTTGCTGCATGCTTGGGGTCGTTGTCTTGCTGGAAAATAAATCTTCTGCCAAGTTGTAGTTCTCTTGCAGACTGTGTCAGATTATCCTCCAGGATTTGGCAGATTTAAACAAGTGCCATACTCCATCCATTTCTGAATGATGGATTTAACTGAACTCTGGGATGTCCAGTGAGTTGGAAATCTTTTTGTAGCCATCTCCTGACTTGTACTTTTCAATGATCTTTTGTCTGTGCTGCTTGGAGTGTTAATTTTTCTTCATGTTGCAATTGTAGTAGGAATACTAATGAACCAGAGACTGGATCTTATACTACAATTACTTGATACACATCAGCTGAACTCAGGTGATCTCCATTTCACTAATTGTGACACTGCTGGCATCAACCAGCTGGACTTCTGTTGAATTAGGTCGGTCACTTTAAAGAGGGTGAATATTTATGCAATCATCGTCTTTACCTTATATATTTTTAATTAATTGACATTACGTTGCAGCAAGTCAGTGAAATGACAACATGGAAGAAACAGGCTTATTAGCTTTTGGAGAAGCCACCAGAAACATTGGGAGCAGAGAAGAGAGGAGCAGATTCAAGTAATAGATAAACACTAAAATAAGGTTCAAAATTACCTACAAATTCACTGTCAATAAAATAATAAGATATAGGCCTACACCGCTACTGACCCCACCGGCCACCGCACCGCCACAGTTGCACTGTCTTAATGAGAGCTCTACAGTCCAGTGAGCGGGTTTGTAGTGGTTCTGTCTCTCGGATCCTTGACATGAGTATGTAGACTTTGGTGTTGCAGTTTCGGTCTTACAGCCCTAATATATAGCTCCTGTATAGCTCAGTGGTTAATGCCACTGACTTTGGTACAGGTGACCTTAGGCACGGTCCTTAATGCTACCAGCCTACCTCAGGCATGAGTGAAACCGCAAATACAAGAGCCATACCAACATATCATCATCATCATCCCCACACTCAGAGATTGGGTCCCAAGTCCCAATAACAACAAGCCCTTAAGGCACAGAATCCCTCAACATAAGGGCCACTGACCTACGATTGAAGATCATAACCAAGCTGACCCCGAGCACAACGACCAAGATTGCCAAGGCTAAGTGACAAAGTACCTCTGAAAGTCTGCTAGAAGATGTGAATGCAGCACTACATACTATCCCTACTAAAGCCATTCCGAGACCAAAGAGCTGATATACGCCACAGCAACAGTAATCCCAGAGATGCTTGGCTATAAAATGAACACCACAATCTACAAAAAGCATTACCCCCCATGGAGGAGAAGGCTAGAGGCCAAGTTCAAGGCAACACGAAGAGAGGTTAGTCAGCTCTCAGAGCTATAGAAAGGTGCAAGGAAGGGGCTACCTAAGAAATACAACAAGCTGTCGATACCTGGGGCACTGGAGACTGCCAAACAAAGACTTGCTGCTCTGGCTACCCTCCTAAAGGGATACAAGGGAGAAGCAGAAGCCAAGAGAATAAACCGGATGTTCTCCACTGAACCATTCAAAGTGTACTCTCAGTGGAAGGGTAATAACACAAGATAAGACCCACCCAGAGCTGAGACTGAACAGTACTGGAAGAACGTATGGGAGAAAGAGGCATCACACAACTCCAATGGCTCAGTGGCTTGTGGATCTAAGAACAGATCACAGCAATGTTCCACAACAAGATCCAGTAACCATTACAATGGCAGACATCCAAGAAAGAGTGGCAGGTATGAAGAGCTGGACAGCACCAGGCCCGGGCACTCCATGAACGCCTGGCAGCATAAATGAACCAACTGCTGACGGATGAGACCCAACCAGAATGGTTAACCCAAGGACGGACAATCCTGATCATGAAGGATCCTCAGAAGTCAACAATTCCATCCAACTACCGGCCAATAACCTGTCTCTGCACAACATGGAAGCTCCTGTCAGGCACCATAGCGGCTAAGATGAGTAGGCAAATGGCTCAATACATGGACAGGGCCCAAAAGGGAAAGGGCAGTAATACTAGGGGTGCCAAGCACCAGCTACTGGTTGATAGAGCAGTCACTCGAGACTGCAAGACCAGGCAGACCAATATGTGCACCGCCTGGATTTACTACAAGAAAGCCTATGACTCAGTGCCACATACATGGATACTGGAATGCTTGGAAATATACAAGATCAACCGGACACTAATAGCTTTCATCAAGAACTCAATGGGGCTGTGAAAAACAAGTCTGGAAGCCAACTCTAAGCCAATTGCACAAGTCACTATCACGTGCGGCATATACCAAGGTGATGCACTATCCCCAGTGCTCTTCTGCATAGGCCTGGCACCCCCTTAGCCAGATCATCACAAAGACCGGCAATGGATACCAGTTCCAAAGTGGAACAACCATCAGTCACCTCCTCTACATGGATGACATCAAGCTGTATGCCAGAAATGAGCGAGACATCGACTCACTGATCCACACCACCAGGTTCTACAGTAACAACATTGGAATGTCGTTCAGACTGGACAAGTGTGGTCGCATGGTAACAAAAAGAGGGAAAATGATCAGAACTGAGGGGGTTAACCTACCAGAAGGCAGAAGTGCAGATGTTCAGGACAGCTACAGATACCTTGGGGTCCCGCAGGCTGACGGAAACCATGAGGAGGCAGCAAGGAAAGTCCGCCACAGCAAAATACCTACAGAGAGTAAGGCAGGTCCTGAAACAACAAGACAATAAAGCTCCTCACAATGAATGGAGGGTTTCACCCCAAATCCAGCACCCTGAAACTGTACACCAAGTGTAGCGAGGAAGGCTGAGGGCTAGTGAGTGTCAAGACCACTGTCCAGGATGAAACGACAAAGATCCAGGAGTACATCAGGAAGATAGCCCCCAAAGATGAAGGGCTTAGTCAGGCAGCAGAAACTGGGTGAGGACAAGGAAGACACATGAACCTTCATGGAGAGACAAGCCGCTGCACAGCATGTACCACAGACAAATAGAAGAAGTATCAAGAAATCTTACCAGTGGCTGAAAAAGGCTGGACTAGCACAGAAGCACTAATCATGGCAGCACAAGAACAGGCACTCAGTACAAGAGCTGGGGTCTACCACACCAGGCAGGACCCCAGGTGCAGACTGTGCAAGGATGCACATGAGACAGTACAGCACATAACATGCACGTGGCATTGGTGTCGTCTTCTTCCAGTACTGTTCAGTCTCAGCCCAGGGTGGATCTGAGCTGTAAATCTTTGTTTGGCAGTCTCCAGAGCCTCAGGTATCGACAGCTTGTTGTATTTCTTAGGTAGCCCCTTCCTTGCACCTTTCTGTAGCTCTGAGAGCTGACTAACCTCTCTTCGTGTTGCCTTGATCTTGGCCTCTAGCCTTCTCCTCCATGCCTTGTGGCTTGTGGTGTTCATCTTATAACCAAACATCTCTAGGATCACTGTTGCTGTGGCGTCAGCACATTGGTCTCGGTTTTGGCTTTAGTAGGGATTGTATGTAGTGCTGCATTCACATCTTCTAGCAGACTTTCAGAGAGAACTTTGTCAATTAGCCTTGGGACTTTCCCTTGTCGTAGCATATTTGTTGTACCTCATCAATCTCTAGTTGTGATAGTAGTTGCCGTTTGCGGATGTTAGAACACTAAGCTTTGTCAGTTTTGATGATGGGTTTCGAAGCATCCATATATCCCACAGTCTCTGCATATAACCCCCTTCACCGGGATTTCTCATATAGTAGCATTGCATCAGATCCATATTTTCTGCTGTTGACCCGGGCAACGTCCAAGCTGGTATGGCTCTTGTATTTGCGGTTTCACTCATGCCTGAAGACAAGTAGCAATAAGGACCTTGCCTAAGATACCCCCGCCCTGACCTGGAATCGAACCCACGATCACCTGGTGTGTGTGTGTGTGTGTGTATGTATGTATGTATGTATGTATATATATATATATATATATGCCGTGACTACTTTACTTTTTCTCTTAGGGGTGTACTCACTTTTGTTGCCAGCAGTTTAGACATTAATGGCTGTGTGATGTGTATTTTGAGGGGACAGCAAATTTACACTGTTATACAAGCTGCACACTCACTACTTTACATTGTAGCAAAGTTTCATTTCAGTGTTTTCATTGAGAGATATAATCAAATATTTACAAAAATGTGAGTGGGGTGTACTCACTTGTATGAGAACTGTAAATAAATATATTTTTATTCTTTTCAATCAGATCAAATACAGACCTAGAGGTATTCCAGAACCATATATTGATGTATGCCAGCAAGCGCATCACCTTCAGTCCCCCAGTTTATGAGGCAAGAGTTCTGCTTGCCGCTCTGGACTATAACTTCCACCGGAACCGACCAACATTGAAAACAGCAGAAGGCAAAGAGATGTACGTTTTACACTTATATTCATTTCCCCATTTAGAATCAGTGTTTTTCAATCATTTTTCGGATAGTCATAAAAGCTGTGTTTTGAATCAGTCCCTCTCTTCTAAACCAGTTGCTGAGTTTCAGAGTTAACTATAGCATGCATCTGTCTTTTCTATCGTTTTACTGTAACTCTGCATCGCAATGTACATATTTATTACATTAAAGCTGTTTCCCCTACTGTTAAAGCGTACAGATCATGGATCTGTTGCACCACTACTAACAGATATTGAATGTTCAAATTATAGTTTCAGAAGGCTGCACAAGACAAAAAGCAGAAGACACAGGTTATATGCCCTGAAATCTAAAAATACCTGCGCATACATCTCTGATCTGCAAGCAAGGATTGTAAAGAGGAGAATCACAAGTGGAGTGGGGATGCCTCGAAAGAAGTCAGGTAAGACTTTGTTTTCCTCCAGGCCTGAAGTTGATGGTGACTCGACGTCATCCTTTATTTGTCGTTCTGGGGAGCCATTAAAATAGACGCAGCTGGTCATTTAATTTGGAAGACTTGTTGAGAAAAAGGGTGCAAAATTTGAAGCAAATTGCTGTAAAAGACTTTCGAAGGCTACCTCACTACTTGCCATCGATGGTGTGCACCATCACTATGGTTACTTGTGTTCTTGACCCGTATCCTAATATTTGTTAAAGGAACTCCATTTTTCACATTATAGATAAGTTTGTATTACATTTCTATTTTTTTATTAGTTTCCTAGAAAATGGCTGCCAACATTTTTTGCTGTGTTTTTCAGTTTTCCCTGCAGATGTCCAGCAGTTTTTGGTGATTAAAGAAGAGGTTCCCTCTGGGTGGAGCCCCAGTCTGGACCAGGAGGACCCAGAGCTCCTACACATAAAAGAAGAACAGGAGGAACTCTGGATCAGTCAGCAGGGAGAGCAGCTTAATGGACTGGAGGAGGCTGATATCACCAGGTTCCCATTCACTGCTGTTACTGTGAAGAGTGAAGATGAGGAAGAGAAACCTCAGTCTCCACAGCTTCATCAAAGCCAAACTGAGGACAACAGAGAGGCAGAGCCTTCAGCCAGCAGCTCAGCTACGCAGATAAAAACAGAAACTGATGGAGGATCAGAACCTGCTGGGAACCTTGATCCAGATAGTCATTTACAACCAGATACTGATGAAAAAGCTTCAGACACTGAAGTCAGTGAAAATGACTGGCAAGAACCTTTGTCAGATTCTGAAGCTGAAACTGAAGACAGTGACAATGGTTGGAAGGAGACCAGAGCACCTGAGTCAGGTGTAAATGCTCTGAAATATAAGGAAGCTCCTGTAAGTGATGCAGGATGTAATGCTGGGAAAGAATCATTTAGCTGCTTTGAATGTGATAAACAATATCAACACAAGGGGTCTCTTCAGAGACACATGAAGTGTCATTCAGGAAAAAGGTCCTCCAGCCGTCTGGTTAATAAGAAATGTTTCAGAATGAAGCAAAATGTAGATTCACAAAGAAGAGTCCACACAAGAGAGAAACGATTTGCTTGTGATGTTTGTGGTAAAAGGTTTAACCAGCAGACACATCTTACATTACACATGAGCGTCCACACAGGAGAGAAACGTTTTGGTTGTGATGTTGTGGGAAGAGATTTAAAAGGATGTCACATCTTAAGCTGCACATGAGAGCTCACGCAGGAGAGAAAACATTTGGCTGTGATGTTGTGGGAAGATATTTCCAATCCTGGGAAATCTAAAGAGACACATGAGAGTCCACACAGGAGAGAAACCATTTAGCTGTGATGATTGTGGTAAAAGATTCAACCAGCATCCACATCTTGTTAGACACATCAGAGTGCACACAGGAGAGAAACCATTTTGCTGTGATGATTGTGGAAGAGATTTACAGATCGGGGAAATCTCAAGAAACACATGAGAGTTCACACAGGGGAGAAACCATTTGGCTGTGATGATTGTGGGAAGAGATTTACAGAACAGAGAATTCTCAAGAAACACATGGGCATCCACAGAGGGGAGAAACCATTTGGCTGTGTATTGTGGGAAGAGATTTACAGAACATAGACTTCTCAAGACACACTTAGCAACCACACATAGGAGAAACCATTTTGCTGTGATGTTTGAGGGACAAGATTTACAAAACAGAGAATTCTCAAGAAACACATGAGACTGCACACAGGAGAGAAACAATTTGGCTGTGATGTTTGTGGTAAAACATTTAACCAGCATCCATATCTTAAGAGACATTTCCCGCACATAAACCTTACGTAGATGGACCACCCGGGTATATTTGGTGACCTATTGTAGTGTTTTGCAGATAGAATTGTTATCTATTACGCTACATGGACATGATGGATATACTTCAAGCACGGACCAGTTAAATCCACAGTGAAAACACCAGTGCAGATGTCATTTGTTAGCAACCAGGTTGGTTTCATTTTCATAGGCTATGTCATTAACAAGCCTCCTCCACATGCAGAGGTGGGGCAATCCACTGTGTTTGCAGCAGAGTTTTGTACATACACCGACTGACACCTCCAAATATGTATTTAAAATGTATTTTTCATTAAAATGCTGCTTACTGCCTACTGAAGCCACCCATATAGACAAGTTATTGACACAGTTTTTCCAAATGTTCCCTTTATCAAAGTTGTCGGGAAAGGAGAGGGAAGGGAACAAATGTTTTCCAACATCTTCTGATCTTTGTGGTATTAACATCAGTGGACATACAACATACTTTAGGGGTGTGATGGAGGAAATAAATTATAATAAATATTCATCTAATGAATATACCGTATATTCAAACTAAGTCATCTAAAGTTCTGGATTGCATTGCAGTGTAATAGGTGGAAGAGGAGACCTTTAGTGGACTTGACCTCTGATTTTAACCTTTTTTAAAAATCTATATAAACAGAAACAGTGGATTTATTAACATAGGTTTGTTATTATTTCTTTCTTTGTTCATGAAACTTTGATAACACTTTATTTTACAGGTCTCGTATTTTTGTAAAATTTCATAGAAATTAGTCGATATGTAACTTTAAACTCCAGGAAGGTTCCAGGAAATGGATGATTGTTATTATAGTGAAAGTGGAGATCGTACTTAATTGCCAGATCCAATTAATTGCTAATGTAACCTAGATAGTCTTGTTTTGATAATTGTCTTCAGGCAGACATACAGTTCAACATATATAACCAATAAAGTCTGACACACGACAATCACTGTCGCATTGGCCGTTTTTAGCTAGCATGGATAATGATTCGCAGCGGAGCAGTCTTCCAAGGTTGAGGACTTATTGCATTACATTTAATCATTTGGCAGGCGCCTTTATCCAAAGCGACTTACATTTAAGGAACAACATACAAGCATCAATACACTAAGATCTACAAGAGTCAATACATACTAGTAGAGCTAATAGCGTATTGAATTGAATTTATTGAAGGATAGCCTTGAGATGCAGCATCTCATTTTCAAGGGGTCCTATAACACAAATACATAATGAACATACATAATACAAAACAGAACATTACATAACTACATATAGCACACACATACAGATGACTCGCACACCCCTCTCACCACCCACACATACACTCAGTTAATGCAAGGAAATTAACAATATAAAACAATCCTTTAACTTAAATTCTACCAATGTAAAATCAGCTATCATTGAATCCAAAAACAAATCAAGTTATTACTTATCAGTATGTAAGTGTAATGTATAACAAACAACGTAATTCTACTTGATAGCATTAATAACATGAACGTCCTGTTTGAAGAGCCAGAGCTAAAGATGCTGTGAAAAGTGCTGATAGATGTTAGGGTAGGATGAAGATTATTCCAATCACATGGTGCTTTATATTGAAATGATTTCTGTCTGGCTACAGTAAAAGTTCTTGTGATGTTGCATCTGTCTGAATGGATATGGAGCAAGGAACTAAAAATTGTTTCAAGTATAGAGGACAGTTACAGTAAATGGACACCTCATGACAAATCTACAAAGACAATTAAAAACAACATTAAGAGGCCTAAGATTGCTGTCAGTGGTGTTCATATAGATAATATCAGCATAATCTATAATTGGCAGTATCAACAGAGATAATTATATTCCTTACTTGAAATGTAAAACCATGTAGCCTATTGATCAGTAAAGACAACTTCCATAGATTGTCTTAATAATGAAGTCAATATGCAATTTGAAGTTGAGTTCAGGGTCAATCCAAAAGCCAAAGATATTTAAAAGAATCCACTTCATCAATGTTAATATGTGGATGTAAGTACTAGGACGATTACGCCTTGTTCCAAACACCATGTCACAGGACTTCTCATTTATTACCAATTTATTCATGTGAAGCCAGTTTTGGACCAAATTGTAAGAAGTTCTGGATTTTTAATATATCTGAGTCCAAGGTGTAAATAACTGTATCATCAGCATAGCAATGCACTCAGCAATTTTTCTCACAGATTTTGAATAAATCATTAATGAAAATAGAATAAAGCAGGGTTCCCAAGTGGAACAGTACAAGTAGAAAAGGACAAGTTGAATAAATCAGCAAGTGGGTACATTAACACATGAGCAGCAAGCTTAATAATCTTGCTTAAAGACCGTCAGGACCCACAAATGACATGAAAAACATCAATAGGCATGATTGATCTAAAACAGAATGCACCAGTAGAGAAGATCGTGCTGGAAGAACTAGCTGTATCATGGAAGTTTACAATTTCTGAACCACTAATCTAAAAAAATGCTGGATGAAAGCACCAGAAATCAGTAAAGGATCGGAAATACTGGCATTATCAATTTGTACTTGATTCCAGTCCAGAGTCCAGATTTTTCTGGAGTTTTGAAAGTCCTGCAAAAAGCTATCTCTATAATTAATAGATTTTGCATTCCTTGTCTTGGTGTGACATACATTCTTGAGATATCTGTAAGCTTCCCAATCTGTAGCATCTGAAGAAGAGCATATTTAGCCCAGGCTTTATTCCTTTGTTTAAAGAGACTAATCAGATGTGAGCTGATCCATGGCAAATGTCTACGTTTGACTAAAGTTCTTAACTTTAGAAGATTTGTCAAAGGTAGACATTTGACTATCATCATTTAGAATCTAAAGGGAGCAGCTAAAATAATAATAATAATCTTTATTTGTAGAGCACTTTTCAAATACAAGTTACAAAGTGCTTTAACAAGTGTAAAGAAAATATACCCAAGAGACAATAATACAAAAACAATACAAGATAAAAGCATGAAAACATTGAAAAGACTAAAATACACATAAATATAAAATTAGTAAAATACAATAAAATAAAAGGGATAAAATAAAATCAAATAAGATCGGGAAAGGCTCTCCTATAAAAGTATGTTTTAAGAAGGGACTTAAAAGAGTTCACTGACTCTGACCATTTCCTCAGGCAGGCTGTTCCAGAGCCTCAGGGCCCTGACAGCAAACCTGTGCAGCTAGAGTAGCTTACTATTC